CTTCACCGCTCCCAGAAGGGGCTGTTGTTTTGGAAAATGGTCCTCGTGGGCATCCTCGTCAGCAGAGCAGAGTCCTGCTGCTCTCGGTTTCTCCTCGTCTCCAGAAAAACATCTCTCCAATTTGACCACAATGATTCACGAGCGTGTGACAAGCCGTGGGACAGGGCCATCGCCATGCAGAAGGTCGGTCTTGTCATTTGGCCCTTTTCAAAGCGAGATAACAGGGGCATCTTTCCGAGCAGCTTAGCTCTGAAATTTGCCCTTTGGCAGCCAGAAGCAGACCCCTACCAGACCTTCCCTACCAACACCTCCACGAAACACACTGGCTTTGGGGGTAGCTGCAAAATCATTTCTTTAAATGCCATTTTTGGGTGGATTCAACCCATTTTTTTAGGTTCAGCTGGGAAAAAAAGGATTTTCTGCATTGCCAGACTCATTACTCAGGCTCTTTGCTATTTTAACCTAAAACATACAATAACGTCTGGCATCCAAGGAGTGCTTTTATATTTCAAAGCTCTTTGCAAACAGTCTGAATCCAGGTGTGTTAGCTCAGACTGAGCAGCTGTCAAAATCCGGGGGCCTGATCCTGCACCGGCAATCCTTTTGCTTCCCCTCCTGAGGGGGAAAGAGCACACAAAGAGAGATGGAGAAGGTAACAGTTTTGGAAATTTGGAAAGCTGATGGGTCTGGAGCGAAGATGGAAGGAACAGCGATGGAGAAACCCCGTGGATGCGGCACAGCCTGCGGTGGCTGTGGCCGGTTGCTTTGCCTGCGCTTGGCACGGCTTTGACATTTGGTGCGGATTTGCCTGGGAGCGAATAGAAACTGTCCCCGGGTTTCATCCTCTGATGGGATCTGTAAAGTTTTGCGGTCCCACATCTACGAGGGCGGTACGTGTGTGGGGGTGTGGGAGCGGACGCGTGTGACGGTCGGGACAGGCTGCGGTTTTAGCCATAGCATCCCGGGCTTAGTTGGGGTCTGCGGCCGAGCGATGTCCTCGACCCCCCTCTGATGCTCACCCCTGCTCGCCGGGGTGCCCTCGGCCCCTGCGTGCCGCGGAGGGTGGGCAGTGGGACGGCCGAGCCGCCCGGGTGCTGGCATCCCCCGGCACAGTCCCGGAGCGTGGGGTATCGGCAATAATAAACCATCGCGAGGGCGTCGGAGAAAGGGGGATGCTGGGGCGGGGTGGGGGGGGATGGCCATGTGTGGGGCTAATTAGCGAGGGCTAATGCAGACGGCAGAGCTGCCCTGCTCCCCTCGGATGCCCGGGCTCCCCTGCTGTGAGCTCTTTAGTCAGGGGTGTTTTTCAAAAAGGACCAATTGCTAAATTACAGATGGGGAAACTGAGGCACAGCAACGAGCCCCAGGGATGGGGGAGGCTATGGGCAAGCTGCAGCCCAGCTCTCCCCGCCGTGCTGGCCAACGTGCCCGCTGGGGAAAGACCCAGCCGAAACACATGGCCCCAAATGTGCAGGTCAAGGCTCAAGCTCC